GGTACCTGACGCGCGCAGTACCTGACGCGCGGAATCTCTATCCTATATCCTCCTCTAGCGGGTACCTAACGCGCGGAGTACCTGACGCGCGGAGCGTGTGTCCTATATCCTCTATCCAGCTGACAGAACGACGTTAGAGGCTATGCGGGGTACGCGAATTCCTTATCCTATATCCTTGTGTGCCAGGTACCTAACGCGCACAGTACCTGACGCGCGGAATCTCTATCCTATATCCTCCTTTAGCGAGTACCTGACGCGCGGAGTACCTGACGCGCGGAGGCTGTATCTTATATCCTCTATCCGGCTGACAGAATGACGTTAGAGGTTATGTGGGGTACGTGATGGTTGTAAGACAACCAATGAAATCAGCGAGCAGGTTTTAGTCTCCAGGAGTCCCTGTGCCTGAGCTTCGCCTCTTCTGCAGTCTGGGCTGGTGCAGCAGCGCAACCAGCTGAGGAGAGGCCTGCTTGCTGGGCATTCACCTCAGGAAGCTCTTGGCCAAATACACTTCAGGGAAGCTTGCCGAATCGAGTGGCCAGGAGGTGCTGGGAGATTCGCTGCAAACGGTCCATGGCGGTGCAAGATGACGCGACAGAAAAGGCTGTAGACCCACTTTGTGAGGGCAAAGTTCGACTTCAGCCCATTACGTGCCATGGTGGTTGCGCATATTCCTGATTTTCGGCGTGCTTGGCCTACAAGTGGCAGCATGCTGCGGAAACAGCAGCTCAAGCCCAGGGCTGTCGCAAGCAAACATGTGTTCAATTTTGTTCAATGCCGCTGCAGAATCTATACCTATTAGTAAACAGAGTATTCCATCATATGGTATAATACTGTATACTATAATATACTATAGTATACTATACTCTATGATAATATACTGTATTTCCTATGGACAGCAATCATATACTATAGATTACTATAGTATTATAGTATACTATAATTCCCATGGACAGCAATCAAGAACCAGATGGAACCAGCCTCAATCTCAGGTATCTGCCGCCAGGGTCTCGGGACCTCAACTTCATCCCATAACTATCGCAGAGAGCACGCATCGATGAACAAGGTCACTGCCGTCCAGCTCGGCGTTTCAGAAGCCATGGCTGTATGTCAGCACTGAGAAAATCAAGTAAAGTTGATTGGCGACCCTTGTTGAGAAGACTAAGTTGCGATCGCGTGGAGTGTCAAGAAGGGGGAGCTAGGGACAGGTAATGACTGACAAAGGCTGCAGCACGTCATTTCCCTCCATGCGGACTACGTGTACCAGTCAGTTGTAGGCATGATCCCCATAACTCGTTGCCGCTGTGGCTAGGAACCAAGACCGGCAGCGCAGACTAAAGCAAGCTCATACGCAACAACACATAGGAGACACAAACAGGTTTGAAACGTCCTTCTTACTTCGCTGGTCGCCAGCTCTTTATGTAAGCCATACTCTAAGCCCCTAGCGTCCCCCTCCATCCCCCCCATAATTGTCCACTGTAAAATCCCGCTATTTACCGCCCTTTCAGGAGTTTGGACTACAGCTATTGTACTACAATATACTATAATGTACCAAATATACCAGAATATACTCTATAATACTGTAATATACTGGACTATACCACAAAATACCTAATAGCTCATGTAAAAGCTCTAAAAGCCTAAAGGACCTATCCTCGCCTGCCCTTGTCCCTCGTTCAAACCCAGGGGCAGAGCAGATCTAAACAGGATGAAGAAATGCATTCAATCAATATCTTATATTATGATATACTATAGTAAAAACCATAATCTAGGGGAATATAGGGAGATACCGTATCATATGGTATATGGTAGTAGATTATAATGAATTATAGACGAATGAGTTACATGATGGTATATTATAGCACATTATAGAAGAATAGGGTATGTTATGGAATACTACATATGGAGAATCATATGGAGATGGAAATGGAAAATGTAATGGAAGCTGGGGGATAATAGGGATAAAAGGAAATTACTTCGATCAAAACATCAGTAGTTACCGTTGGTCCTTGAAGCCCTGATCGCAACTTGTTGTCCAAGCCAAGCTTTTCAATTGCATCGACGAGTGAAAGTCGCCCCCAAAAAGTACAAATGACAACAACGAAGTATATAGATAGCTCAGTCTGTACTTCTTGGCTTTGGGGGAAATAGTCATCTCAACTTGGAGCGGTGTCGGATATTCAGCCAGTGTCAAAGCACTCATCCGCAATGCCAGCAATTATGAAATCAGTGGTATGACAGCATGCGCAGCCCGGAGTCTGCGGAACTTTGCGATTGAAACATGCTGAGAGTAGCCTTTGTTCTCTATTCCTTGTCTGGGCTGCAAATTTTGGAAAATTGGCCCGCGCTTCAAATGAGCCGAGCTCTCAATCCTCTCTGTAGCCTCGCACATGCATGTGTCCAGAACTTTGAAGCTATCGCGGAGCAAGTGGGCTGAAATCTGGTAAGGCAACCCTGCGCATCGCACAGAACGTGACTTAATCTGCCGGGTCACCCCAGTAACGTCCTGTGAGGTTTGCGTTCTCAGCGGTGGATGGCCGACCTAAGCAAAGAACTGCGCTTTTGGCGTGACATGAGCCTGCAGCACTATCATTTCAGTGCCTCCGTCCCTTGACACATGCTAAGTCACTCAGTCTTCCACCGGATCTGGCTACCGGCGAGCTTTGCGAGGACCTTGCAGTCAATCTGAGGTTGCTGCACCCAAGCTGTCCTTACAAGCCTTATGTCGAGGCAAGGGGCCTGAAGACCACAACTGCAAGGAAACAGGCCAGCACCAGCACCGCATCCACGTTTGGATTGGCGACCACCTGCTGTCAGATTGCTGCTTGTCTGTTCTTCCTTGCTTGATCGCAATGAAGCCTCAAACGCTCAGATGCTACAGAAAACCTCCCACCACACCTCGTAGTGTTCTGCTGGCAGTTTTCCTGCTGGTCGACGGACTGCTGTAGCCTGGGCATGTCTTGGCTCTTTATTCTCTGAAGCCAACGTAGGGATGTAGGGTCGTAGAGCAAAGCTCGACTGAGAACGCCGAGTCAACATTGTTCAAGGTACCATTTTGTTGCCAATACACATCACACTCACATCACACTGAGAACTGTACAAGCTGTCCCAAGCGTCCCACCCTTTCAATCACTCTTCCTCCAGAGATGGAGGTCATCTTGTAATCCCTTCGGTCCTGCCACAGGACCAGGTCCCTTTTGAGAAGAATGCACAACACGAATGAGCTCCGGCACTCGCTGCCCCTAAAGAGGAGCGAATAATGATTTTAGTGGCTCGTGCTGGGACAAATCAAACCACACAACTGGAACCAATCTTGGACGCCAATACCAGTTGGGCCCTGTTGGCTGGCTGAGAGCGGCTCTCCTGACGCGTGCTGACAGCCTTGGCCCAAATTGCTTCATGAGAAGGGCTTTCCGGCTTTCCCGAAAGCACAAACAGCACCACTCTACCACTCGGCTCCCATGCGAGGAGGGGTCGCCCGGCCCGATCACGAAGCGTGTGCTGAAGGCACTCGGGACGGTCGCCCTCCTCGCACACCACATCAGGTACCATGGCACCAAACGCGCGCAGACTGACACGCGTGCCTGGACTAGCATTCCAAAGTGAGTTCCGTCACTGCCGAAAACCTCTTTGGCCTGAGGTCAAAGCATTTGAAGCACTGGACCATCGGCAGTTCCAACCCCAAGCCCAAGCCCAGAACGGAGGTGACAATAGCCAAGAGAGTGCCTGAAAGTCAGTGAGTTCACAGTCACATGCGGCTACTGCTGCACAGGAGCCTGCGCTGTGCAAGGAGATCTGCACCTCAGGAATGTGGGCCGGCATGCATGGAATCGCGCATGCTGAAGCTTGACCGCTCAGAACAGGTGCTAAATACCCACTTTAAAAAAAGCGCCTTTCGCAAGCCGTTCTCCAGAACGAGCGCTGCTGTAAGTAGTGGTACGCCTTGAGCACGGGAGGAGCGCTATGTCACCATGTGTACTACAGCAAGCGAGAGAGTCCCGCGCAGAATCCCCTTCTTATTACTGTTATCGAACCCCTGCGAGCCTGAGAGCCCAAGAACATCCACCTCGAACTGGTCGTGAAATAGCGGCGAAACTGGTACTGCAAGCCGCGTGTGAGCAGCCGGGATCACCAAGGGTGGATATATGGTGGGCAGCTCCGGGTACCAGTTGTCACCTGTCTACAGGCGACCAGTACAGCGCAAAATTAGATCAACACTGGCAAGAACGCACTTATAATGATCCTGCGGCCCTACAAAAATCTCGTGACCCAAGCGCAAAATCTCGAAAGGCAGTCAAGGCACCTGTAGATTTGCGCGCAGTCATTCTCATTGAAGATGGTGGCGGATTCAATGGGTTCAAGGACCGCACCGAGCCAGCTTCCAGGGTGGGGCGCTGGGACATCGCTGGGTACATCCTCAGCTTGAGGATGTGGCAACGGCTTTCACAAACATTTGGTTTCCTCCTCCTAGGGTATTGTTCGGGCGGGGGTCATAATACAATGAGATCCTGAGTTTGAAAGATGCCCAACTCCAGCTGCTAGTACCAAGCTGATGGTAGTTGAGATCAAGAGTCTGTCTGCCTGACTGGAGCAATTGTTGGCCGTGAGGCCTTCCTGCCAGCAGCCTGTGATCTCGTCCTTGGCGCTGATGCTGTAAGGGTTGCTCCCTTTTCTATCATTTCCAAAAAAAAGGCAAGATGTGTTCTTCAGACAGCCGTCAACGACGCAAGCATGGCACAAAAGTGCTAAGCATAATCAGTAAATCGCATGATATTGCTTTCGCGACAATCCATTTCGGCAAGTTTTGGGCACTGAAGGCGACAGCTAGTGGACACCTCCTGAATCCCGTGAGGACTGAGCAAGTCAAGTTACCATCATGCTTGTCGTCACTGGGCATGCATGCCATCCAGTACAGCGCAAAGACGGATGCTAGGAAGATGGTCGTGAACAGGAGGGCCTTGTCAACAACCCTTCATGCAGGCATGCCAAGTTCACCCAGGCACTGGTCCGGATGCACTCCCAAGCAGCGAAGACTAGCGGACGCAACTTTTGTTCAGGAAATGCACAAGTTTGCTGAGCTTGAACATGTGTACCATTGTCTAAACTCCTAGTATCCCCCTTAATAACCCTATAGTAGTCCCTTATAGAATCCCCCATATAACCCCCTTAAAGGAGTTTAGACTACAGCTCATGTGTTATACTAAGGCTTGGTCTCACCGCTGTGTGCCATATGTAGAGCATGCATCTCCTCCCAGCCTGAGAAAACAGGCTTTCAGGAGCGGACGAAATGTCGGGGGAAGCCCCATTAGTGAAACGAACCAGTAAATTGGTCCAATGGCTGCCGCATACCTCCATCAATTACTCAAGTCCATCTGTACAGATGCATGGTGGACTCAAGCCTGTCCTTTGAAAAATCTAACGTTATCCCTGATGTTCTGGTCGGACTCCATCCAGCCAAAGACTGGCTTCACTGGACTTGCTGGAGCTGGCTTGACCAGCACGCTGATCGCAAGCATCTAGACGACCCAGTGCTATGTCCATGAGACTACCAAAATTCATGCTGCGGAGCACTGTTGACAGTTCGTGGGCCGCTCTGGGTGGCACCTTGGGGTCGACCCCGGAGAGCATCAGATACTCGAAGCGTCGGTCTGCTAGGTGTAACACTGGCATCGGATCAGCTGACAGTTCCCAGTTCCGAACCTGCGCCTGTATATACGGCCAAAGCAACCGCCATACCTGTGCCTCGTTCAACTCGCGCAAAGAAGCACGCTGCTTACGGTTCAGAAGACACTGTAGCAACCCATGATGTTCGTGACACTTCTTGCAGTTCTGTCCATGGTGGCAGTGTCCCATGGCCATGAATTGGCATGGGCGTCGACACAGATTTGGATGTCCAATTCCGCCCACAGAAGTGAATGGCGCATTGTCATCGCCCATCTGCGAAGCTGGGCTGCCCGAACTGTGGTCCTGACCATTGGCTTGAGGGCTGATAAATTGAGCCTCTCGTGTCGAGTCATCGCTTTCCTCGGCCGACTGATCTGCAGGTTCCCTGCGTTCTTTGCAGCGTGCCTGCGAGCCCGTCGGCGTCGCTGTCACCACTGCCACTGTGGGTTCGGACAAAGCGGACCCAGAAAAGGAAGAAGGTATTTTGTTGCACATTTTGCGTGAATTGAAGCTCAAAATGGCTATCCTGATGCATGGCAAGAACTCAGTCAGCGGACACTGCATCGATGACAAGCGAGCTAGCACCTGGACTACCTAGACCTGAAACGTCTATGCAAACATTTGTCGCAGTTCAGCGCACCTGCCAGGCACCACCAGCGATGTTGTCTTGAACTACCTGCGCCAAAATAGATCCCTTGGTGATTCAAAAAACCGGTCTGCTCCTCATTCGTCTGCCCTCGGGCTGCTTGGGGCTGGAACAAGTTGGGGACTTGTGCCTCATCCTCAGGTCTGTTACCAACTTCCAGGCTTTTTTTCCGTTGAGGACAACCCTGCCTCTTCTCGTCTACATCTACATCTTAGGACTACGCTTCTCACGTCTGTGGTAGGGTTAAGGGCTGGCAAGCACCCTTAAGATATCTTCTTCCGGCTAGCACGCAATGCCAAACTGAACCGTTGAGCCTCTTTGTACAAACTCCATTGGCCGACGCTGGCTTTTTCCATGATGGCCACGAGACCAGTGCTTGCGTCCTTGGCATCAAGGACATGAAATCACAGCAAGCTTGCAACTTTGCTGTGGCTTCTGCTCGCAGTGTGACTTCTCATACCACTTCAGCAAAGGCTCCGATCTCTGTGCCGAAACTAAGGGCACCTGGCCAATGGCCTGGCGGGCTCCCGCTACCATCTCGTCTAACAGAAACCATTGGTCCTAGCAGTGACAGGGGTCTCAAATGGTGACCCTCAGGAGACCTGTAGTCTGGCGTGGTGATACAAAGCTCGACGCTCCCAGCATACCCATATGAGGGCATGTATCTTGAACCTTACAGGCAGCTGCCTGGGATCACACTGCTTCTAAATGATGGAGCCCCTGCGTCTACTGTATGCCAACCACTACGTAATCTGTACCCCAGGGCCGATGGCAGAACATATTTGTGCCTGAGGAAGGGTCTGAAATGGGTTCCCAACTCACGGCCAACCCTTAGGTCAGTAAGTGAGACCACATTTTCTATCCACGACCCCCCAATTGTAGGTGGTGCATGCTGCCTGCACGACTCGCATTCCCATCATTCATGAGAATAGCATGAGCTAATGGCATGGAGCAATGACTTCTCACACAAAAACCGAACATTGCCCTCTTGCAAATGTTTGCAGTGTCTCGATTGCTGGCTGCCTTTCCCCTTGAGGCTGGCGATCCACGGGCAACCGCCGCCTGTCGGAGGGTCGCAAAATGATTATATACCCTCCGACCCGAAATAATACTTTCCATTTTCTCTTCCATTATCCCTATATAGCCCCTATAGATGACATCCCCATGTATCTGCCCTATTGTAATATAGTAGATTATCGTAGTCTCCACATTCTCTTCCATTTCCCCTGTACAGCCCCATTATATACCCAATCCTACACCCACCTGAAGGAGGTGCAGCAAGCCCGGCTCGGAGTCCAATGACACGGCGCAGCCATCAAGAGCTGATGCTTTGCCTGACCATTCAAGTAAATGACAGCCCCTATGGTCCTATAGTTGTTTCAACTTAATGTTCCATGTTCTTTTCCATTTTAATTCCCCATCTTTGGGGCTATCCCTAAACCTTAAACCCTAAACCCTGGCCTGCAGCTAGTTGACCACAGCCAAGTGAGCAAAGCAGGCTGAAAGCGAAGCCGGTGGAGGTGAAGGACATGGCATCTGCCACGGGAAGCTACAGACAGGAAAGGGCTGGCAGGCGCAGACCAACCAGCTTTGCCAGAAACGCCCGGGTCTGTGTCAACAGTTGGTCAAGCAACATCTGCTCAGCTTAGCCTATTTATTCATGTATCTTGGACAACTAAAATGTAATATGAGTCATGTCCAGCTTACACATGAAAGGGCGGCGAGAACATAAACGACACCTTGCTGATGTCTTCCTAGAATACGCAGCCCTTTCCAGCGTCAGGTAAAGCGGAGACTGGCTTGGAGGGTTTCAGTCCAGTCCATCTGAGCCAAATATCCGTCCCGAACGCATTGTTTGTTCACCTGTCACAAGCGCAACATGACTGCTGCGGAACAGTGCCAAAACTATCCTGCGCAACAACCGTTAAGTGGTGGCTTTCCGCAGAAAGCCTTAAATATCAGCAGACTGCCTGCGTCAAACCGCAAAGCTGGATCGCCCCTTCAATGTTCCCGTGGTGAAGCCAATGGCTGGCAGCTGGGTAGCTGTCTCCACTACACTGGATGATGCTTTATACAAGCTGTCCTAATGACAGAAGACCTCCGAATTGCCCGCCTGACAGTGGCACTTGCTGGGTTGCTGGTAAAGAATATAAAGTAAAAAACATGTTGGTAGATAGTACAGAATACGGTTTCCTTCTTCAAGTAACTTAATTCAAGTCCTTTAACACCAACACGGTAAACCCCTACATATACCCAGTTTCCATTTCATGTTCTATGGTCTTTTCCATTTGATTCTTCATGATAGGGGGAGAATATGGCTAAACCCTATATATCCCTATGTACCCCTATGTAATTACCCCTATGTACCCTTATTATCGGGGGATAGTACGGCTAAACCCTATATTAGTTCTAGGATGAGTCAAGGCAGGCGATGGCTGTCTGCAATTGGATTCCAAGGTTGAAAAGCCCCTAGTATGGGCCCTTCTTACATATACCTGCTACTATATATGCCCCGTATGTACCCTTAAGGGTCCGTAGAATCACCCTAAGAGGCCTGAAGGCCCACATTAGAGACCCATACTTCTAACCTTAAATGAGCTATAGTCTAAACTCCTAGTATCCCCCTTAATATCCCCTATAGTAGTCCCCTGTATAATCCGCTATATAACCCCCCTTTAAGGAGTTTAGACTATGGCTCAAATGGTTCTGCAACCCCTTGTAGAATCCTTTGCCCTGGCGGAGTGTATTTCCAGACCTCTGCCTTTTATGGTGCGTATTGCCGCTTGTGGGCTTATGGAAGTCATGGTTGTCATGATTTCTGAAGATTTAATACAGTTCGTATTTCTCACTGCTTCCTCGGCTACAGGAAATACTGTAGAAGGACGTCCAGCCTGCCTATCTGATATTATACGGATGCTGGTCCCTGGAGACCACAATGGTAAGCCTGCGAGACCTGGAGGGGGAGGACTTTTTGAAAAAATCTTTCATGCGTGTGCCAATATGAATGTATACGTAGGAATTCTAGTGACATGAAAACCCCGTCAACATGCCACCACTGCAACTTGTGCAGTACTCCGTAGGCGAAGCTTGCATATGCTCTGGCGTCTGGACGGGCCACGCACGCCACGTCCAGCCATAGGTTCCAACCGAATTCGTGAGACAAAGCAGTGTTCCCGCAACACTGCCACTTCCGCAATGCCACGCTACTTGTCATCCGCACTTGCTTAGGTACCAGTAGAGTCTGAGACAGCAACTGCATGCAACTGCTGGGACTGGCATCTCAGCGACCTGATGCCAGTTCAGCTGCGAGCTCCGCATTTGCGGCCTGTCCACAAACTGCTTGTCTCCCGAGACATGCATCGCGGTATCATGGGATGAGCCACGTGCCTGGAGTAAGTGTGGAGCTAGCGGCGGCATCGGCGGCATGCTTGCGGCAGATGCTGGCGCAGGCGTAGTGGGTGGAGGCAGCGGTGGCAACGGCAATGTGCTCTGAGGCTGAGCGTCATTTACCGTGATCGAGTATTTGCCTAGCAGATCGGGCATGGTAGCAAGGTTGCTAGAGTCTGAGGCATCAAGACTTGTAGCTGACATCAGACTTCTGGGGATGGAAAATGCGTCTAGTGCAGAAACCGGCACTGGGACGACCAACGCGGATCTTTCGACCAAAAAGCTCCTTAGTTGAAAGGAGGCCCTGAAAGTTGTGTAAGAAGCAGGCCGAAAAGCATCCCACCAGACTCTCAGAGTTAAAGTTTTTGCTACGCCTATTTGTCACGACCGGTCATGGCACTTGCAACCATGCAGCTGTCTCGTCGAAGATCGATATCATTCGCGTTGCGACAGCAGGACTTTGGAACTGGACAAAGCAGTATGCTGCATTGGAACCCATATTGACCTGCGCCACAGGATGCACAGCACGACTACTTCAAGCTCTGAGCTTCTGACCTTGCAGATTGCCGGGCCCAACTCCGGATTGTATTCCGGGACTTCCATTGCTGCTGGTTGAAGGAGCTCACGCATCACCTGTGCGATCTGTGATCATTTCTCAGCTATTGGGATGAAGTACCTATCTGAATTGCTATGTCGCATTCAAGCCAACCTCCTCGTCGACCATACCTGTGGAAAGGTTACCGAAGTATACCTCGCGTAGAACAGTGGAGACACCTGCTTTGTCATCTTCGCCCACGCGCGGCAGAAGCCCAAGGTCACGCAGTGGCTTCACATCCAGTCCTGGCAGCTCGCCGTCATGTGGAGGCGCGTAGTTCGCCGGTCGACCGATCTTGATAACTTTGCTGTGCAACTCGAACCCGCTCATCTGAATGGCTGTTGTAGTGATGACATCGTCCACGAACTCTACAAATGCGAACATCCCTTCCCCTTTCGGTGGAAAAAAAAGGGTCCGGACAACGTCCACAACGTCTGGGTAAGTCTCCACGAAACTCGGAAGAGCCAAAAAGAGGCGGTTGAAGGTCTTCCGAAGTGTTATCTCGTCAACCTGCAGAGGTGCAACAATGATGCATGTCAATCAGGCACATCGTTGGTGACACTGAAAACACCATGCATGAGCCTTGTGTGCTGGGAGATTGCCAACATAACATTCCCTCCGCTTCTTTCCATTTATGCTTGGATCCATTAAGCGCTTCAACGGTTGCTGATCAGGATCAGACGGATCAGGCCTGGAGAAATCATCAAGTCAGAGGCAGGACATGCAGGACGCAATGACAGCATAACCTGCAGCTCCAGTCCCACCTCACGTCCCACTTGCTTTGACCATTTTGGCCCACTCGCCGCCGCAGGTTCGGCCGTCTTGGAGGTGTCTTGGAAGCTTCACGTCGCGTCCAGCGAGATGGCGTAGTGCACCTGGAGCTGCAGCAGGTATTGCGACATCTGCCTCTATTAAGACATTCAGATCCACTAAGGTCGCACCTCCTCTTGTGCGGTCTGTCTGAGCTTGAGGATCTGCGGCGACGAGGTGACAGGCCTGATGGACTTTCTTTGCTTCCGTATTTCTGGGCCACTAGCTGGCTGAAAATTGTTCGAGGCGCCAAACTCAACTCGAGCACCAGACCAGTCAGAGCGCCTGGAACATGGAGGCATGTCTGCAAAACACATCAAGCTGGAGCCAATAGCGCAGATGCGGGCAGGGTACACACACACTGACACTGCGACATGATCCAAACAGCGATCTTTCGTTTGCCCACCTAGGCAGTCTGGGCAGCCTAATGCGGCTCTTGCGGTTGACCTTGCGCACCTGTTTGGGGACTCAGAAAGGCCAGGAGTTGGCAGGATCTGGATTGTCTATCCACCTTCAGCCGAGGAACAGCACAGCCACTTGCTGGGGCGCTGCGGCTTCGAGGACGTCTTGTGCATCTTGTGCGCAGTGAGTAACTCCGGGACGCAAGTGGTCTTTGAGGTGATCCGCGGGGTGCAGCCTCCCTCGAACGATGCGGCGAATCTGACAGCGGTGGAGGCTCCTCAGAGGGGGTGTGCACGGAGTTTGCTGCCTCCTCATCCTCGTCCTCAGATCGCTGCAGTGAGAGTTCCAAAAGTGCCAGTCAGCACTTGACGCAACTATGACAAGCCACCTTGGCGTCTTCACGCATCTCGTCTGACTCAAATTCGGAGGAAGCCTCATCCCTCAGTCAGAGATAACCACAAAAGAGCTTTCCTCCCTACATCCTCTGCAACAACTGGATGTAAATATCACCATCATCATGTGACTCGATGAATTTCATTACCTCACAAAGCTCTCTTCAAGGTCAACACCTGTAGTTGCAGTCTGCGCCAAGGCACCCAGAAGCTTTCTCCGTAGGTGTTTCCTCGTTCACCTCATCCTTCTCGCCAGCGTCTTGTCCTTCCTCTTTGCCAAGAGAGTCAGCCTCCCCCTGTACTTCCCCAACACTGCTGGCAGCCTGTTCTTCAGACTGCTGCGGATCAATTTCCTCATCCTCACTTTCCTCCTCCTCAGTCTCCTCCTCACAGACTGATTCCTCCTCCGTCTCGTCTGCCAGTTGCTCCTGATGAAAGGGCTCTGCACGCCGCAACTCCACCTTCGACTAGCTTACCTTCTATCAAAGCACCTCGCAGCTCGGCACCTCATCAGGCTCATCGCCGCAGTTCCTTGGATGCACGACTTGCTGCTGGGAGTCCGCTGACTTAGCGCGGCAGTCTGGGCAGATACGATCCGTGTCCAGTTAGCTAACAGCAGCCGAGCTCATGATATCTCTGAGAGCCCAATTTAGCTCAAGCTTTCTGGCCAAGATGCTCTTCGGCAATTTGTCCTTCCTCCAAGTCTGGATCCTCTTCAATCACCTGCCAGAAGTCAGTTAAAAGGCAGGAATATCGGCTTCCCGGCGAATTGCAGCTACCTCCTCTTTGACTGACGCAGCTGTGCAGAAACCATGGCCTCTCCATCGGAATCGGAGTCCTGCATCGCATCCGGAACCAGCGGCTGCCTGCCAAGCGGAATCTATCACAAAGGCATCGTGGCACACTTCGTGACTTTAGAGCCACTTACTTGCGCAGCAAGGTGCCCCTCGCAATGCTGGATGTTGTCTTCGTGAATTTCGCCTTCCTCCAGCGCCTCATCCATCTCACACATCTCGCCATCCGAGGCCTGACGCAGCTTTTCTGCAGCCCATGCGTGAAGTCGATTATCCATCTTCTCCTCGCTAGCCCAATGCTTCGATGAGCTGCGCGGCCTGCCAAAATTCTTTAGGCACGTGTACTTCGCCAGTTTGCGCAGCAAATCTACGGCATTACTGCCGCATCTGTCGGTTATACTGGGTCCAGGCAGCTCCACTGAAGGACGACCTGCTTTTTGCTGCCGGAGTGCAAACCATCCGGAACACCTTTGACGACTTCTGCAGGAGGGATATCCTCAACAAGCAGCAGTCGAGTCTGCCGGCATCCCATCCCGCTGCTTCTCACAAAGCATTCAGCACTTTGTACCTGATGCTTCCAAGCGAACATGGAGGTAAAGCATGGGCTAGACGGCTAGGACTACATCTCGACCAAGGCATGCGGCAAACACTGTCCTCGGTTGTTCCACTTCCAGCTGGTACTTGGATGCCCCTCGAGCTCACGATACCACCCTTGAGCTGCTTGGGCACCACAGACCTCACAGTGCAAAATCCTTTCCTTGGCCCATGCCATGATCACTCCTGGACCTTGCCAATGAGTCAAGCAACTCATTCTGGGAAGGCTGCAGAGTCACCACCTGTACATCCTGGAGACATGCAGGGATGACAACGGAATGTGTAGAAGATGAGCACTCACAGGCAGAAAAAGCGACCAACCATGGTCCTGATGTCCTTCTGGTTGCCTCAACTTTTGCAGAACAGCATGAACAGAAGCTAGATTGTACGCTTCTGCACCCGTCCTGCCTCGTCTGCAAGGGCAAGCCATCGCATGCCTGCGTGCGCAAACGGCAAATCCCAGCACTAAAAGCCAGGTCATCTCTAGCGTTGGGGTCGACCAGGACAGTGGCTGCACTAAATTTGCGTGGAGTGTCTTGAGGTATTGTGGACTCTGTCCGGGTCCAGCTCAGATCACTTTTTGAACGCGGCTCCGCTTTGCGACGCTTGCGCTGGCGACACTCGTTTGGAGGACACCTGCCAGCACGGCTAAGCTTCCACGCTTGTGCTGGCGGGCACATAAGTCTCAGGTCAACACAATCACAACTTCCAGCCTCTTCTGCCTAGACACGCATGAAGATGTCCCCAGAAGCAGGTCGAGCAACTCCTGAATGCTTCCCAGTGACTCTTTTGCCGCCTTCATAGACTTTTACTCAAAAACTGGGCCCGGCTCAGGTGCGGCAAAGCGACAGGCCAGCACGTCCTCGCCACGCCCAGCAGATCTCTACAAGGAAGAATCAGCTGACGTATTGGCGCAGATACTGGTAGAAACCCCATGGCTTCTAGCTGCGCTCCCAGCTTGCCTCCTCAACAGCAGCCGTGACCAGTTCAGGATCCCTTCCTCACATTATCCACACCAGTGCTTTTCAAAATCTCTCTGACAGTGCATGGTACCAAACCTTGCCAAGAAGCTTAGTTCCTCCGCCGCGTATTGCAGCGCCTCACGCTGCAAAGTCAACTGCTCTGCAAGGCCAGAATGCCAGACAAGTCAGACTAGAAGAGGCAGGCTCTTACTGCCGCTAGGAACAGTCTAGGGAGGGGGGGATAGTATAATATAATATATCATGATATAGTATAGTATAATATAGTATAGTATAATATACTATAATACAATATAACATAGTATAATATAGTATAGTATACTATAAAGCCAGCCGCGCCTGGCCATCCTGCTGAAGAGCGCACTTCACGACCTCTCTGTCAGCCCGCAGACTTTCACTGGAAAACCTGGGCCAGTCAAAGGCATGGCTCAAAGCAAGCAATAAGATAGCAGTTTCCATTTTATTTTCCATTATCCCCATATAACCCCTATATAATCCCAATATACCCTATAGCAATAATATAATATATATATATATACGTAACCCCCATATAGCCCCAATATGCTATAGTAGTTTCCATGTTCTTTTCCATGATACCTTTATTACCCCTCTTCTTTGGCCTTGAAGACACTGACTTGCCCAGACAAGAAGCTCCAAAGCCAAACCATTCTGAGACACTGCCTCCCAAACCTTGCAGGTGTCTGCATCCTAACCATTCTTTCTTTCATGTCCGCAACAGCATGAACTGGTCAAGGCATCCAAGCATCCACTTCTCGATCGTTCTGCAGCACTTTGTCTGCGAGTTTCAGAGCAAGGCCATTCTGTCGAACAGCGCAAAGAACCTGGCGTACCACATCACAACACTAGATGGCCTGAAAGAACATATCGCTGAAAATCATGCAGGTCAGGAGCAAGCTCCCTGTGGGCTCTCATGCTCGAAGATGCAAAGTTCAGGATGTTGCCTGCGCGTTTATGCAAGGCATGGTTCCGTCTAACTGCGATGCTTCCAAGAATCCAAACTGAAATAAGCCAAAGTGCTGTGCTGCTTCACCATAGCGATCAGCACTTCAGCATCCTTGCATCATATTTCTGCACAGCTATCCGCCATGCCTGGCGGCTTCCAAATGAAGGATCCAAAGCTTGGGCATACGGCAAGGGTTCCTTTCCATTGATTTGAACACATTGCCAGGGGACCTCCCGCAGCTCGACTGCGCCCTCGGTGAGCGTTCTCTCGATGTTGCACCTCTCACCGGTAGAGAGTTTCCAACTTCGATGTCCCCCCATTCTTCCACGCCTGGCCAGGCTCTGCACCTCCTCGGAGCGCAAAGCACAGCAGGCGAGCACGGAGCCGTGACACTCCAGGAGCTGCAGGAGCACGTCTACACCAGCCTGAACATGTGACCACGACCTAGGCTCCAGTGGCTGCACCCAAGCCTGCCTTCAGATCAATCGCAGCATAGAGCAACGTTCGGCCAGCTGCGCTCAAGGCACGCAAGACTACCTCAAGTGTACTGTAGAGAAAGGCCAGCACATGCTAACGCAAACAGCTCTCCCAAGGACAGTGTGCACTCAACAGCTCGTGAGTTTGTTTGTGCTTGGCGCCTCTCTGTCACTCCTCAAGGGGGCCGCAGCCTCCTCCTCGCGATGAATGCAGATCGCTCACTATTAAATGATTTCAGTACTGCCCCGTCATTTGCCGTTGGCTCTACTCTGACGATGGGCATGCACTACGAGTATTTGCCTTGTACCTGCGGAGCAAGGGCCACGTACTCGGAGAGTTGGCGACACAGAAAACATTAACATGTTCTGGTGATAACCTATCCATAGAGCTCTTTGACCATGCGGAAGGCCCGCCTTCGATTTTTGTCTGGCGAGTTCTTCGCGGGTGTGACATCTTATGGGAGGCAGGGGTGGGCTTCTGGATGTGATGCGCAACCAACGCCTTTAGCTGAGTGCTGCGCATCTGTCTGAACAACTGCGGACTGTCCGTGCTCGACATGGACACACAGGCATTGTTTTATTAATCCATGGTGTCTTGCATGTGATTGTGTCCCACCCTCTCACGCTACGTACCACGGACCCTCGGTCCAGCATGTTGCCGTTCTGCGTGACAGCGGTGAGCACAATCTCCTAGGTCTGCACAACCGCGCAAGTCTGATCTTCAGACATCCTCTGACTTTCAACTGGCTCCTACGAGTATCGGCAATCACGCACCAGTTATCACCAGTCACTGGCCTTGCAACTATCCCAACTCCATCAGACCTCGACCAAGAACCAGGCCCGATCGCCGCGTAGCGGCCCAGCTGCGAAGCGAAGCGCCATACCAGACGTCCTCCCGTAAAGGCCGAGAAGCCTACACTTAGACTAAGGCGAGTGCCGAGTGCATGCGAAGGCAAAAGAAGGCAAGACCGCCCGTTTTCTGGGAATGCGCGGCGAAAGATGCAAAGCAGGCAGGAGTGGGTTCACAGAGCACTGCTGCAGAAAGTGTGAAAGTTTTGAAGAACATGGTAAGCTGAAGCTTCGGTCCGAACAGCAGTGAGCACAAGGTCGCGGTCTGCCCGGAGCTCTTCAGATGCAAACTCCTCGCATGCAAATCGGCTCCAGCTGGGGCTTAATGACATGAAACATTTGTGAAACGTGTTGAAATTTGTGGAAGTGTCTGGAGTTCCAACTTTGACCATGCAAACAAGGTGCCAGCATCCTCCCCTGTCTGCTTAACGCTTCCAGCACCACCTTGTGCGAGGCGGGAAAGGATTTTAGTGCAGAGCGGTCAAGGAAAGTAACTACCACAACCTCCATCAAATAAGTTCATGTGGGCCTCGCGGTCGCTTTGTAAAATCGGTGCGGCAAAGGCTAGCGCAAGACCATCCTCGAGGAGCGCGGGCAGGGTGTCTTGTAATTGGTGCTTTTGCAATCCGCGGGGAAGGCTCGAGTGTGATAAGATGCACGGATGTGCATTACAAACTTGCGTTGCACGGAAGCAAGCGGAACGCTTGCATACGGTTGCGACAGGGCTCGACAGAGGATTCTGCTGTCCTGGCACACGGCGGTCAGCACCAACTCTCGATCACATCGGAGCTCGTCACACGCAAACTCCAAGGCCAACCCATTCTGCCTTCACCAGAAAAAGTTGAAATCAAGCATTCCTTGACTCACGCGGAAGTGACGTTTCCCTTGGCATTGCAGCTGCTGTGCCTCACAGCCTCCATGACGACCTCTCTGTCGGCATACATCTCCTGCAAGATTGGCAGACTTGCATACAGGAGCCGCGCTGCCCGGATTCTGCCTGCACAATTTAGAACTTCCCTGAGCTTGTTTTTTGATGATGTCTTGTAAGTAAGGGGTGGCCCCCAGTACCCGCTCTTGTCAGTGAGCATCATCTCTCCTGGGCTGCACACTGCAGCGCAATGCCGGTCTGTCTGACGGTCGCCAGAACAATTTCTTTGTCTGCTCGGAGGGTATCGCCAGCATGGCCGAGCATGAAGCCGTACTGACCTCAATGAGGACCGCACAGGGACCCTCATACCAATCCTACGCTTCCATCTTCATCTTCGCATCAAAAGAGAGCTGCAAGCACATCGCAGACTAAGTTCACCTCTGTGGCTAAGCGAAGCACTAACCGATGCAAGGACAACCTGCACAAGAATATGCTGCTGATGGCTGTTGTGCACACAAATGCTGCTCATGATGTGGTCATAAACTACTCGCTTGCCTCGCGGTCTTCGCGGAATGTCTTGCTAAGAAACCTTGTTCGACGGCATCACACATTCTGTTTCCAGCATGATCTCTGGCAGAAGGGTCCAATCAAGTAGGATTTCCCGGAGCCAACCCTCAATTATGTTGCATGGATGCGCTTCCAATCCTAGTAAGCTCTCAGCTACTTACAGCCTCACAGCCCTCTTCTGATCGCAGGGGCTCCAGGGCTCGGCCATCGCAGGCGACGGCCCGAAGTGCAAAGTCCCGTCTTTCAAGCAGAGCAGGCGCCGCAAAAGCCAGCACCTGCCATGTCCATTGCAGGTGAACAGCAAACAGCACAGCATGCAGTATACGTGATCATGATATAGAATAAAGTAGCATGCTCGTTCCTTTGCGTTGCTTAAGGTAGACTCATGGCTTGGTACCTGTGCATCCCAACGCAGCGCAGCCAGTACCACTTCCTCGTCGGCCCGCAGGGCCTGCAAGGGAAAACGCTTTCTTCTGGGACCTGCGCTAAAGAGCAAGACAGCCGGGGCTCAAGTGCCATGCATCTGCCAAAAACCGAAACATCGCGAAAATGAGATTCATGCTTCGAGAAGCAACTGCTCTCCTCGGATGCCACTTGCAACGTGTCACCACGTTGCCTCACAGCACCTTCAGACAGGCATCGCAGCCAGTACACATGTGAGGCAACTTGAAGGAACTTGAAGGGCATCAACTGCTCTTTTCATCTCTTTTCATTACTGCTTCCAAGGAGCAAA